GCTCCGGCCTCCCTGCCTCTCCGAGCTCCGGCGGGCGGGCGGGCGGTTTCCCCTCGCCGCTTCCTCGGCCGGCCGACCCCCCCTCTCCCTTCCTCTCTCCCGCACCCGGCTCTCGCCGCCGCCACCCCCACCACCCCGCCGCCGTCCCCTTCTCCGAGGCGAGTTTTTAAACTTTGATGAACTCTTCCAGAGAACTTTTCTTAAAGGAGCCGCGCGGGGTTGGGTGGCGCGGGAGGTGCCCGGCACGCTGCATCCCCAGCCAAAGGCGGCGGTGCTCCTGGGTTTCAAACCCTGACGTGGGGTTGGAAGCTGTCATGGGCGCACACATACACACACGCACACACACACACACACACACACACACACACACACATTCCCGTGGGGGTCCAGCCCGGCGCGTTCCCCTCGCGCGCGCGGCGGCGGCGGAGGGCCGGGTTCTAGGGGGGGGAAGGCGGGGAAGGGGGAGGGCGGCAAACACCTGATCTTGAGCAAGGCACCGAGTGGTTCTGCTGAGTGACCTTGAGGAAATCACTTCCCCTCTCTGGCCCGAGGCGTCCAGCCCCGAGGGTTGGGAATTAGACTACCAAGTCTCCCCCCTTCACCTCCCCAACTCTAAGAGGAGGGTTAGGGAGCCTACTCGTTTTCACCTACAGGAAGAGGTACCTCGGATGACCTAGAAGGTTCCGTTCGTTACCTCCACCCCACTTTTAAGACTCCTCACGTCTCGCTCTTTTTCCGCTCCAATTCCGAACCCCTGGGGTGGGGGAGGGAAGAGCGGGCTGACGCCTAGGGCGGGGTCACCCAGACTCCCACCCCGCGGTGGCCGGGGCGCGGCCTTAGGGTCGGATTTTTCCCCCCGGCGGTGTACATACTGACCAGGACCGTCTGCTATTCTGCAGCTAGTAAAAAACCCGCCCCTACCTGAAGTTGCACTGGGAGAGCCGTGGCCCTGACGGCCCTGCGGAGCCGCCGGAGCCTTGGGGTCCTTTCCTGTGCCCCCCACCCCCGCCCCGATCATGCTTCAGCAGCCAGAGCTGAGAGGGGAGGGGAGCTGGCCCGGGTCAGGCGTCCCCGGGTGCGATCTGCTGCCCCGACTTAACGTATGGAACTGGGGTCTTAGTATCGGGATTTGGGGCGGGAGCCCGCGCTCAGAGGCGGTGGACATGAAAAGCCTTGGTTTGCACCCCTGTACCAGTTAGGAACCTTGACCCTGGGCAGTGGCTTAGACCCTGAGAATTTCCCTGCGCCGACCTGCCAAATACAGTTAGCTCCATCACGCGTGAGGGCTGAGCTGTGGCCGACCTCCCTGACAGCTTTGTCGTCCTAATACGTCATCTCACAGGTAAGTAAATTGAGGTTTTTGCTGGTGATATATGCACCCATTTGGGAAATACTCTTGAGCCCCTACTGGGGCCTGGGGGAGGGGTACTCCATTCTTCCCAGTTTTCGTCCTTCCCGCTTCCGGCATCTCCAGGTGGTACCAATCTTGTGAGTCCTCAGATACCTCTACCACATTTTCCCCTCCTGCAGATCTTCCCATAAGGCCCTTGATGTCTTCCTTGCCAAAGAGGAATTCCCATTCCTCCCTCCCCTTAGGATCCTGCTGTAGAAAAATCTTCTGTAGCTCGGGCTTTTTCCAGAAGAGAAACACAGTTTACTAAACTTAGGTATCCCTATAGGATTGATTTGAATTTTTCTTTTTTCTTTTCTTTTCTTTTTTTTGTTTGTCTGTTTTTTGTTTTTCAAGACAGGGTTTCTCTGTACTGGCTGTCCTGAAACTCACTTTGTAGACCAGGCTGGCCTTAAACTCACTGAAATCCACCTGCCTCTGCTTCTGCCTCCCAAGTGCTGGGATCAAAGGCGTGGGCTACCACCACCCAGCGATTTGAATTTTTTTAATAGAGAGGCATCTTGTGGTTAAGGGCTCCATTTTATAGATGAGGAAGCTGAGACCCCAAAGAAGTGACAGATGAGGCATGGGCCCCCATCACTGCATTTTTCATGTTAGGAAACTGGTAATGTTTTTTAAAGTAATACTTCTTTTCTAATGCTAATACACACTTTGTAAATACTAAAAACTCTGAAAATGAAGCCCAGTCCTGCCATCTGATGCACAAGGTTATTATATCCTCTAGTCCTTTCTCTCTGCATACTTTAAAAACCAAAATTCACCCTATTCAGAACACACACTTTACACTTTTCTTAACAGATTCTTCACTCAATTTTTGGTGTCCACCTCCCCATTTTATTGAGACAGGGCCTGTTTTGTTGAGTAGGTTGAACTCTTAATCCCTCTGCCTCTGACCCTCAAAAAATAGGATTACACACATCTAGCACTTCCCTTGAAATTATTTGTGGAGTTGGGGCATATATGTCATGATACTTGTGTGGAGGTTAGAAGACAATTTGAAGATGTTGGTTTCCTCTGTCTCTAGGTGAGTCCCAGGAATGGAACTCCAGTCTTTAGCCTTGGTGGCAAGCACTTTTCCCAGCTGAACTGACTGGCTGGTGCCTTGTCCCTCCATGTTTACAGAACAGAGCTGGGGTGTAGGACCAGCTTGGCATGCATAAAGCTCTGTATGCAATCTCTAGCACTGGGGGAAAAGAGTAATTGCTTAACTCCCATTATATATTATTGTTTGTTTGTTTTTGTTTGTTTGTTTGTTAGTTTTTCAAGACAGGGTTTCTCTGGTAACAGTCTTGGCTTCCTGGAACTCACTCGGTAGACCAGGCTGTCCCTGAACTCAGAAATCCTCCTGCCTCTGCCTCTGAGTGCTAGGATTAAAGGCGTGTGCCACCACCTGGCTATATCTTATCTTTTATGTAACATTACTATCTCTTGTTAAATATTATTTTCATTTTCTTTTTTTTTTTACTTGCTTTCATAAGCAACACTTAAATAAAAAAAAAAAAAAAAAGAATATTCTTTGCTGGGTGAAGTGATGCTTGGCTTTAGTCCCAGCACTGGGGAGGCAGAGGCAGGTAGATCTCTGAATTTGAGACTAGTCTAGTCTCCAGAGTGAGTTTCAGGACAGCCAGGATTACACAGAGAAACCCTGTTGGGGGGTGGGGGGAGGACGGCAAACAAAAAAAATCTCCTTTTATGTAAGTGTATGTGCCTGAGTATATGTAGTGCACATGTGCATGCATATGGCCACAGGGGTGGGAAGACAGAGTCAAGAGTCCCCTGGAACTTTGGATCTTCTAGAAGAACAGCAGCTGCTCTGGAATGCTGAACCGTCTCTCTAGTCCCATAAATAAGCAACACTTTATGAGGATTCATGTGTATGTGGAGGGAGTGTGTAGCTGACATGCCTGTGTGTGTGCATCTGGAGGCCAGAGCAAGACATCAAGAGTCTTTCTCACTCAGTCTCTCTTTGCTGGGTCTCACTGAGAGGGAAGCTCTGCCACTTCCACCATGCTAAGGAGCTCTCAGAATCTGCCTGTCTCTGTTCCCCAAAGCTGGGGCTGTAAATATATAGCCATGTCTGGTGTTTTACATCCATGGTGAGGATTTGAACTTCAGCTTGCAGAGCAAGGCTCTTACCCAGTGAGCCATTTCTCCAGAATCATCAAGATTCTCAACATGTCAGGAGAGCTTCTGTATGTGTGACACCTCTTAAGCACTTTGGAAGCAACTGTCTTTTCTGGGCCCCACAACCCCTGGAAATGTATCTCTAACCGCAAAGAGACTTGGAGATGAGGGAGACCAGAAGGCTCAGCCCGGCCGCTATTCCCTGTGTGTGGTTAGGATTTTCATACTGCCTACAGGTTCAGTCCTCATCTGGATGGAAAAGGCAGTTGTGGGAGTACAAGTCTGCCTTCCTGCCTGGAGGATGGGAACTTTCCCCTGTGTCCTCCAGCTGTGACCTCAGTAGCTCAGCCTCTGAGCTGCTCACATTTCTGTTCCCTGCAGTCCCCCCACTCCTGCTTGCCCTTCCTCAGTTCCCACCCTCCTTTCCACATGCTCAGTGCCTTCCCTCTTTTGACCTGGGAATACCTTGTTTGAGAATCCTGCCTACTTCCTAGTTCTTGGGAGTATCTGCTGGAGGAGTAGCCTCCCTGAAGAGCTTGACCAGTGCTCTTCCATTAGTAAATCTCCAACAAACCTATGAATAATACTAGGGCTGCTTCTGGAGGATGCTTCAGGCTTATCTGGTGCCTAAGCCCCTTTCTTGGTTTTCTATACATATATTTCTTGTTATTTATTTACTTATTTAGCCCTGACTAGAGCCTGTCATGTAGACCAGGCAAGCTGTCTTCAAACTCAGAGATCCACCTGCCTTTTCCTCCTGAGGTCTGGGATTAAAGTTGTATATCACCACTCCCAGCCACAATACTTCTTTCCTTTGTTTTTTTGTTTTTTGTTTTTTGTTTTTTTGAGACAGGGTTTCTTTATGTAGACTTGGCTATCCTGAAACTCCCTCTGTAGACCAGGCTGGCCTCAGAGATCAGCCTGTCTCTGCCTCCCAAGTGCTGGGACGAAAGGCATTTTCAGCTGCTGCCACCACCACCACCACCCCGGCAATATTTCATTCTTAAGAGTAGGAAAAATTCCAGACACCAGCTACTAGAAAAGAATGAAGAAAAAAGTAGGAAAAAAATCAGATAACCTCACTCCTGAGCAGTGCCACCCTGTTGTATCTGGACATTCCAAAGCAGATTGGGAATTCTGACTTCAATTTCTCTACCATGAGATATCCTGGGTGTAACAGAGGTTGAGGATGACCTTGAGGTTCAAAGGATGGTGTTTCTGAGGCTTATTTTCTTGGTTGCTGACGGGGTTTAAGTTCCCACCTTTTAGGTGAAGTAGGTCCTGGGGGGGAGGGAACAAGAGACTATTTCCCAGGTTAAAACAGATTCTCTAATCCCCTCTTGTTCCTGCACTCTATTTACACATTAGAAAACTGGGCCTCAGAACTGTTGGAGGAACTCTCCTAGCCCTTAGGAAATATTGTTGGATGTCAGGGAAAGGACCTGAGTTTCATTCTCCAGCACCTTGGTGATCCCAGTGCGGAGAGGCAGAGAATGGATTCCTGAGACTCACTGGCCAGCCTGGCCTTATCAGCCAGCTCAGGTCCAAGGGAGATACTCAGACAACATGGTGAACTGCTCCTGAGGAATAAACGTCCCTTCACACTCTAGTTCCAGCACAGGAGGCAGAGGCAGGCAGGCCTCTGAGTTCAAGGCCAGCCTGGCCTACATAGCAAGTTCCAGGACAGCCAAGGATACAAACACAGGGCTCTGACTGTGGAATGTTGAGCAAGCCACTAGCCAAGTGTCAATAAATAAGCTATAAAATGGAAATAGTAGTGCTTGGTTGCAGGAATGTCAGATAAGAGCCAGTAAATCTGGGTCATTGTGTCTCAGAGTCTCTGAGACCTCATCCTTTATTTTATTTTGCTTCTCTTATTCTGAGCCACTTTGTGAACCTGGATCCCAAGTTCAAATCAAAGACAAACACTACTACTCCCAGAGTAGATTTACCAGAAGACCTGAGTCTGCATTCACGTGACCTGGCAACCATTTCTAAAGTAAAACTAGAGATACCTCTCAGAGTCTCCAGAGGGTCACTCTGGTTTCCTGAGTATTGAATGAGCTCCTAACCCTGACAGTTCATTGATGGCCACAGAGTCCAAGGCAATGGGAGGCATGATAATGAGGTCAGGAGAGGGATAGACTAGGAACTTCACTCCAGGTCCAGACTTCTAGAAAGACAGTGTCTTCTCCCAGCACACAACAGAAGGTATTTACTGCCTCTCTCCACCATTGGCTGGAAATTAGGAGACAACCAGAAGAGAGAGATGTGTCTTTCATCTTTATCTCCAATCTGTGACTTCTGAGTGCCTTCCCCGGGTCCTGACAGGAAGAGTTCAGGAATGACTTGTTGAATGAGGGAAAAGCGAGTGTTCAGGGGTAAGGCTTGTGGTTCAGTTGGATGCTTGCCTGGCATGCTGTGGTGGTTTGAATGCTTGTGTGTCCTATAGGCTTATCTATTTGAGTATTTGGTTCCCAGCTGGTGGGTTATTTAGGAAGGATTAGGAAGTGTGGCCTTGTTGGAGTAGATGTGTCGTTGGGATTTGCTGCCTACAGATCAGGGTCACGTCTCAGCTACCGCTCCAACACTGCCCCCCTACTTCCCACCATGATGACGATGGACTAATGCTCTGAAACAATAAAGCAAGCCCCCAATTAAGTGCTTTCTTTTAAAAGTTGCCATGGCCATGGTGTTTCCTCACAGCAGCAGAATAGTAACTAAAACACATGCCCAAAGTCCTGAATGTGGTTCGAAGCACTGCATAAACTACTGTTCTAACAGCTCAAGGTCAACCTCAGCTGTAC